TTGCCGTAAATTTTTTGTTAGTCCAAACCGATGTGACTGAGTAAGTCACTTGCCAATTACCCAAACGCAACTCAACTCTTCAGCATAAATCTCGCTCTAGACCTAAAAGCGAACACAACGCTGCACCTCACTTCAGTATCTCTCAACCATTATGGCAACTAATCACCCGTCACTCTATATCGTTATCATGGCTTTCATCCTTTCACTTGTTCTGAACAAATTCCGAACTGAACTAAACTGTATTTTTCCAACATTGCTCCATCAATTATGCTATTCGTTAGCATCCTTCGGGAAGCGGAGACCATCCTTCGATGTCTCCTTCTATAGACCTAGCGAGGAGTTATTCCTCAACTCTTCTCTGTCAGGAACCTCCCCCGGATGATTTACTTTCCGACGGGATCACTCCGGCTAAAAGTTGAATACTCTCAGGTGAATACCAATGTCGATTTCTACATTTACAATGTGGAATATGCAACATGTCTTCATGCTAAATGAAGTAATGAGCAGAGTATGAGATGACAAATGGTGCAAAACAAATCACAGTCACCTCACAAACATATCACAAACCACAATCAGCAGTTCAGTAATTTTCCAATTATTGTTTGCGATGGCAAGCAGCTAAATGACGAAGTTGGTGCGAGGTCCCGAACGAATTGTAGATGAACTTCGGCGATCCGCCGAAATGCACTAGGTCGGCAGATCACCGGAAATTCGGCTAAATCGCCAATTACCGGAACTAATTTTCGTGATCCGGCGCGGGATCACCTAATATGTTCTAAAGCCACATTTTAACTTTTGATGCAGTTCTTTTCTTTCATATTTTTATTATCCATTCGTTGCAAAATCCTCGAATCAATACTTAAGCACTTGCCAACGCTGTTTTGCGGCAACGAACGCTTTATTGACCATCTCCGTTTTAAAATTGGTTATGCAAAGTGGGAATGGAACACTGTAAGAATTCTTTCCCCGATAATATTCGGCCTATTTTCCGCTGTGTGCCTCAGCAGATAAGCCTCAGCATTCTAGAGCTCAGTCCAAGCCTATGCACTGAATGAGGGTGCGTGAACGAAGCATGCATATGGGTGGTTTGTGAAGTCCTTTTTTCATTTTTCATTTGTGACTTTCCAATAATATTGGTTAGTGTTGCTGCATTTTGTGGGAGTGTTTTTTGGATCATATCAAATTTTCACTTTTACAGTCATAATATCTATACTCGAATTGGTCATGCTAAGAAATTTCGGTTTGTTTTTGCGTGTTGGAACTGGAAGGAATTGTTTTCGCATATTTCTCTAATAAATATTCAATTTCATTCATTCCATGACGATGGCAGTAATTCTGTGTGGCAATATGGCCGTGACTTGCTCATTCAATAGAACTGAATGCTAGCTTTTCATATTGTAGTGGTTATAGCGTGAGTAATGTCGAGAACGCTGATACATGAATATGCACTGGTTATCCGAGCATCATGATTAGTGAAGTAAATACCTCATCGTATCCTGAGTGTTTGCTCTGTTCTGCTGCTCTACACCTGCCATGCTATTCCCTTTTGGATCAAGCACTCAGTTGATGTGTCAGTCGGTTTGGTTTGTATGTGTATTGATAATTTTCGTAATCAATGTCTAGTTCCATGTCTATTTATTATTATATATTGCTATCGCTAATTGTAAGTTGTTTCTAGTAATAGCAGCTGTATAAAGATGGTTTTTATTGGATCGATTTATGTTTTGTTGAAGGTTCGTTATTCAGTTGCTAGATAAATAGAACGGAACGGAAGGAAGGAGATGGCGACAGCATTACATCATACGTTACGCAACAAAGATAAACACGAACAGTGCATAAAAAGAAGAGTGTGACAGTGATAGATGAAAGGAATATGTGAAGTAGAATGTGGAACTTAAGAGCAATGCAAAGATATCGATAGATGAGTTGTTGTGATTGGAGAGATTTTAGAGATAGATGAACGTAAAAGATGAATGCGGGTCTGTGCGTATAGATAGATAGGTGTATTAAAAGCGAAAGTGTTTGGAAGAACGAATAGTGCTCGGTGGTATTTATAAGTGTTGTTGATGACAAAAAAGGATTGATTTGATTCGGAGTGATTTTATGATATTATTCATATTTTTATTAATTATCTATTGGATGGTAAACTAGTGGAAGCGGTTCAATTATTAGCTGCCATTACATAACAACAACAACAACAACAACCAGTGCTACGAAACTTCCATTCGTTTCCAGTCTCACTTTCACATCGTTTTCAGCATTTCGTCTCGTTTACGAATTCAGTTTCATTTAATCTTATTATTATTATTATTGTCATTGTTACAGTGTTACACTGTTGTTGATGCTTGTTTGTAATCGGGCAGTCCTATCGTTTCTTATTACCGTTATTCATAAATCTAATATTTGCAACCAAAATCGTT